AGCCTGAGCATCGTTTTACGACAATTCAATAAACCTAAAAATTGGAGCTCCGTGAAGTTGGCCCCCCGACAGACAGCACAAACGATTAAACCTACCTCACTCGTTAGTGCCGGTTTGTGCCGGTTTGTGCAGTTGAAAGTCGGGTTTGTGCTGCTTTCGTTTCCGAGATATAGCGCTTTGTTTTTTCGGGGTCGTGACGTCACTCAGCCCCCCTACAATATAACGTCTTCTTTTTCAGGGGGTGACTTTGCCCAGCCTCCCCACAACGTCGTAAGGGAACACGACCGGTCTCAATCGTTAGCGCTACATTTGTGCCGGTTTGTACTGTTGAACGTAGCGTTTGTCATGCTTTCGTTCCCGAGATATAGCGCCTTGTTATTCCGGTGATCACGTGACCATGCACAGCGACCTTGACCTCCAGTGACCCCGTCTGCCGAGTTCAAGCGCTCTGTTACAGTTTAGCTCGTACCCTTAACATTTTAGAGACAGTCAATATCCATAAACATATAAGCCTCCTTAGATGACGCATACCAACGAGTTAACCATCTATGACATAAGCCTGTGGCTGTAATGTGTGTAAAATCACCATGATTGTAAGATCTATGGTTTTTATTTTCTAAGGCATGTTTTCCTTTCTTTCCCTAGCATGACAGGCTGTTTTTAAAGGTGGAGCAGTGGCACTGTGGCTAAGGCTGTGCCTGTTGCTGGAAAGGTTGCTGGTTCAAATCCTACTCTGTTGGGCCCCTGAGCGAGGCCCTTAACCCCAACTGCTCCAGGGGTGCTGTACAATGACTGACCCTGTGCTCTGACCCCAAGCTTCTCTGCCTGCCTGTCTGTGTGTCTCATGGAGAGCAAGCTGGGGTATGTGAAAAAGACAAATTCCTAATGCAAGAAATTGTAAATAGCCAATAAAGTAATCTTATCTTATCTGTTGCCAAACGCATAATTGGGGCATTTTGGCTGGGCATGTCATATCGCGATATATGGGACTTAATGTTGTGACACTGGAGCCATGGCAGTAATTTGCCAGTCGCAATGGGTATCGCGATGTGATCGTGATCGTAATCCGTGCACTCCTATCGTGAGATGCTATCGGAGTCATGAACGCGCTGTGGATGCCAAGACATTCTTTGTCTGCTATTCAGTTTTGACCTCAGTGCGACTTCAATTAGATTGATCAGTAACTGGAAACCAATGGATGTGTTACTGTATATCCAGCGTGCTCATACAGCACACACGGTTACCCGGGGCTACAGTATTTGGACCAAGAACAACATCCGTCACCTGTGTGTCTACATGCTCTCGGAACTTCCGCTGTGGCGCTTTACCCAATCAGAGTGTCGATTCTCACTCTTCACCCAATCGCGGCCCGGGCTGTTCGGGGGTTTAGCCAATCACGGGTCAGAGAGCTGTTCAAATTAGCAGCGCCAGGTGGATCGGCTTGTTCACTGTCAATGAGAATCTAGTTTTAAAATGCTTTACTTATTTGCAAAATAACCGCTGCTTTCTGTAATGAATACATGGTATTTTAACAAATGTAATCGTATATTTAAGGTAGGGAAAACACCTTCTGCTTTGTACTTCAAAAATGAATAGAAAAGTCTATGATCATTATATTATATTAAAGCATATGGCCGACAGGTACTGTGTAAGAGCCGGCTTACCAGAGCGGTGGCGTCGCCGCCCTTCCCTGTGATAGCAGGACTACAGCTAGTGGGCTGTAGCGAGATCTCTCTTTAGCTCACCGGGCTGGGTCCTTCTTGAGTGACGCGGGAATCCCGGGTTCGAGCCCCCGACGGTGGGGGGCCGACCTGATGCGGCCAGGTCGCTCACCTAAACCCCATTTCGTTATATTATGCTCGTGCTTTCAATTTTGTTTTTTATTGTTAAATTATATCGATCTTGAAACTAATACCTAAAAATGTGAATATGGGCTCTCGTGTTGTACCAGCGTTAATTTGGAAACTAGTGTCTCTTCACCAATGAAAGGAGTACACAAGCGATACATTTTCGAGAACATGGTTA